ACAAAAAAAAAAAAAAAAAAAAATGTTAAGAGAGAGAGAAAAAAATAGAGGATGTAAATCAAGAAAAAAAAAGTTTGAAGATGTAAACCAAGAAAAAAAAAGTTAAAAGATGTAAATCAAGAGAAAGAAAAAAAAATAGAATATGAAAATCAAGAGAAAGAAAAAAAAAGTTAAAAGATGTAAATCAAGAGAGAGAAAAAGAATTAAAGAGTGTAAATCAAAAGAAGTTATTTCTTACACTTGTTTGGATGCCAATGGTGTGATCGACACTACTTTTGGACGCAAATTAGTTTCGTGGAAATTGTCTGCTGTAGAGCATGATTTATATGTATAAAGATTAGCCTGAAAGTAGATTAGGATATCTTTATCAAAGATACATCATTCTTCTATTTCTAAATGAGGATAAAAATGATAACATGTTGGTCTTTGCCGCAACTGAATCTCGTTTAACAGCTTTGCCTGAACTAGAATATACTTTTCCTGCTACCGTTTCAGTTTAGAAAATTCTATTCTATAAAAGTGGCTTTATATAACCATGATTTTATGGATGTTGATGATCACTACTTAATATTAATAATGTATATATATAGGTAGACAGATAGATATGTAAACTGATAGATATATATGTAAATAGATAGATAGATAGATATGTGTGTATATACACTCACACACACACATACGCGCACACGCACACACACACACACACACACACAAACAAACACAACACACACACAGATGTGTGTGTGTGTGTATGTATAGCGGTAGTAGCAATAGCAATAATAAGCAATATGATCATCATAACAATGATAAGAATAATTAAAATAATAATAATAATAATAATGTTAATAATGATAGTAAATATAATGATAATAATGATAATGAAAATAATGATTATAATAGTAACTATAATAATGATAATAATAATAATAATAATAGTAATAATAATAATAATAATGATGATAATAAGGATAATAATAATAATAATAAGGATAATAAAGATAATAATAATAATAATAACAACAACAACAAAATAACAATAATAATAATGATAATAACAATAATAATAATGATAATAATAATAATAATAATGATATTGAAAAAGATGATGATCCGGATAATGATGATTGAGATGATAATGAAATAAAAGTAATAACTACTACAACAATAACAATAAAAATAATCATAATATTAATTATAATGATAATTTCAATAATAACAATACCAATCCAAACACCACTACTACTGCTCATAATGATAATAATAACATTAATAATAGAACAGTAATAACATTTATAAACATAATTATAACATAACTAACACATCTACTGATATATATATATAACCACAAGAATCATCATGCTATAACAAAGTGAAGTAATACAAAAAGCCAAACTCAAGAACTCAAGGCACAACAAGAGAATTTAAGAAGATGAGTGTAATTTATTCAAGGGCGATCTATTTAAAAGTTCCTACAGTATCAGCCACCCGGGGTTAGAAACGCGTAGGTTGTATATGACACTTGAATCCAACTAGTTTTTAGAATTTATGGTGGTGGCAACTTTTAGAAACGCAGGCATGTATTTTTTCATTCTTCGTTATTTGTTTTATTATCGTTTTTGATTGTTGTATTGTGATTATTATCATCTAGGATTAGAAAAGAGTTATTCCTACAGGATTAAGCTGATGAGGATCGTAATATTCCACGCAATCTATATATATACATATATATATATATATATATATATATATATATATATATATATTTACTCTTATCATTATCATTACTATTATCTTGTAATATCTACTGGTAGCAATATAACAGTTTTCCTCTTTTATTTTCCTTTTTCGATTATCCTTTTCAGACTTGATGAATTCGTTCCATAATAAAATATTCTGCTATTTACAAAGACTTTAATAACTATCAGTAATTAGTATGTTAATATTAATTAATACTAACTCTTATATGCTTCAGAGATTTCCTTTTATTGTGCTGTTTTATTTGGACTGAAATAATCTCTTCAAATCCCAATTAGAAGGTGACCAATGACGTCAACCAATGATGACGTTTATGTATAATGTTATTTTTTTTTTACGGTTGAGAATGATGATTTGTTAGTAATTACTGCGATACATTATACATTATATATATATATATATATATATATATATATATATATATATATATATATGAGTGTACACACACACACATGTACACACACATACGCACACACACACACGCACACACACACACACACACACACACGTATGTATACATTTATATATATATATATATATATATATATACACATATATATATATATATATATATATATATATATATATGAATATATATATATATATATATATATATATATATATATATGTATATATATGTATATATATATATATATATATATATGTATATATATACATATATATACACACATATATATATATACATATACATTTACATACATACATATATGTATATATATATATA